TGCTGTTGCTGTTGCTGTTGCTGCAGCTTGTTTTGATGCATTTTTTGTGCAGATGCTCCTATAGTTCTTACTGTTCTTGACACAGCCATTGTTCTATGAATTGTTGTGTCCTTTTCATTCTAGTTTAATTGCAGTGGCTGTTGCTGTTCTTGTTGTTGCTCTTGTTGCTGCTCTTGTTCAGTCTTGTTCCGGTTTTTGGGTGGTCGTGGGAGTGTCGGGATCCCGTCTCAGGTTGCGACAGCCGAAGATTAAGCCGAAGCAGAACATGAAACAGCTGTGGTGGAGCCGGTTTCTGTTTGGCAAGTATCCTGGCCAGTGATCTGGGGTCTTAAGGCTGTCTGGGGCTTTCAAAGCTTGTTTTAGGGTATTTAGAGGTCGGTGTAAGGCGAGGGTCATTATTTCTTTAATGCCACTTGAGGGCTTGGGATTTAGGGCTTGCGATAGCTACTTGTCTTGGGCTCTCATGCGCAGCTTCGAGTTCTATGCTAAAGCCCGAATAGTTCAATGTAAAGCTTTGGTAGTGTAGTGTTCGTCAAAAGCATTTTATTTTGGGTGTTCCTAACACAGGCGCCGCAAGAACTACTAGAGTATTCACAGATAGTCTTAGTGACCTACACTCTACTGTAATGCATCGAAAACCCTGTTCTACCCATCAAGGCCCATTCATGATTTTACGATTACGACCATCTGGTGGCTACACCGCAAGCAAAAATACAAAATGCAGGGAAGCCCCTGGCCCTGCCCCTAAAGCAAGAACGCTAGATGTCAGGGGACAAAACCGGAAACCATTAAACCCTGACGAAGGGGCCTAAATAATTACCAATATTATTTCGGTGGGTTCTTTACTCTAACTATAGTATAATATAATCCCCATTTATTCAGGCCCCTATATTATGCTTCAAAACCCTCAAGCTCTACAACCCGAAGCAGCCAAAACTGGAAGCCCAACCCTGAATCGAGGCCCAAACGTTGCTTCTTCCCTACCGGGGTTGCGGTTTAGGGTTTAAGGTCGAGGGTGTGGGGGGCTTCACTGGTGCGCCTGAACACTGAAATCCTATACTAAACCCGAGAAAACCTAAACCCGAAACCGTCTTGAGGCACCTCAAAGAGGGCGAGGGGATTTGGAATGAGACAGACAAGGAAAACGTGCAGCCCCTCGGCTTTTTGGTGTAACTCTTTGGGTTCAGGACAAGTCCGTTACGTGCAGAAGGGAAGCTCTTTCCGATTCCTGCGATTTGGGGCGCAGTTGTTGATGGGGCTTTTGGCTGCAGTTAATCAGTTACGAAAGGCTAGGAGCCGCAGGCGAAAAGTAGTCCACGAAGACCAATGCTGAGCCTAAACCGCAACGCAGCAGTCGGCACCTTGACATGCCGTGAAAAGATAAGCATTTGCATTCGGATCGTTAAGCCCATACTTCAGAACCCTTAGCTTAGCAGAGCCCCATGCTACTAACTGCAGTTTTGGGACCCCTAGCTCAAGGACGACACGAACCCTAAAAGGCTTTAAGGTTCATATACCATATAGGGATTCATAGTATAAGGCTATAGGGCCCCTACTTTTACGGGTCATTGCGTCCTTAAGGTATGTTAGGATCCCGCCGACGGATTGCGATCCAGGCTTGGCGCACAGGTCATCCACCTCATGGAGTTGCCTGGCCCTTTATTTTTGTTGGTTTAGGGCTTAGGGTTTAGGGATTTAGGTTGGAGCTTCGGGTTTAGGAATTCGTGAGAGAGTAGGGCTGGCTTTATCCTTAAAACCTGAACTTCCAGCCAAAACCCCAGAGCTCACTGCTGAGTTATCCCTAAGCTCTAGAGCTCATCCGAGATCCGAGATGCGAAGCAACAAGACGCTGTACATTTTCCACGGCCCAAGAAACCCCATACAACCCCAAACGCGCAAATCTCATAAAACCCTATCCAACTCTATCTACAAGCCCCAAGGGTTCAGGGTTTAGGGTTTAGGGTCCCCCAAACCTAAACCCTAAACCCTAAAGCCTAAACCCTAAACCCTAAACCCTAAACCCGAAACCCGAAAGGCCCGAAGCCCTGCATCACTGAGCCCTGTCCCAGGAATCGCTTCGGCCGAGGGGCGGGCGGTGTCGCCAAGGCTGAAGCCTCCAGCGTGCTGTGGTTGTGGTGGTTTTTAGGGTGGCGGATCTAGGTTTTAGGGTGTAGGGTGTAGGGTTTAGGGTTTAGGGTTTAGGGTTTAGGGTTTAGGGTTTAGGGTTAGGGTTTAGGGTTCAGGGTTTAGGGTCTAGGGGGTTGGGGGAAGGTTTACGGCAAAGCTTGCAGGTTCAAATTCAGGACTCGGCGCCTTAGAACGAAAAGGACTGTACGATTTCGTTTGCACATCGCAGCACGCTAAGACCTCAGTGCACCTTCGCAAAGGGTGCACAAGCATAAACCCTATACCCTTAAGCCTAAACCCTAAACCCTAAAGCCTAAACCCTAAACCAAAACCCGAAACCCTAAACCCTAAACCCTAAACTAAAAACCGAGCAAAGTACCTCAAGACCTCAACCCCAACACCACATGTTGCCGGAGACTAGGACGTCTAGCCGAGAAGGCGCCAGCCCCGGCTCCTCAAAGCAATCAGGGTATTAGGATATTAAGTCATTAGGTTTTTTTTTGTATCAAGCTTCAGGGTTAGGGTTTAGGGTTTTAGGGCTCAGGGCTAGCAAGCAGCAGAACTCCCAAGAAGAATCGATCCTACCATTTTTTAGTGGAGGTTCTTGTCTGAACCTGAACCCTAAACCAACCCTTAAACCCTAAACCCTTAAACCCTAAACCCTAACCCTAAACCCTAAACCCTAAACCCTAAGCCTAGTACCGAAAAATGCAGCTGTTTTGGGCGGGATCCCTAATGGGGCGCTGGGAGCACCGGCTGGAACGGCAGGAAGCCCAAAAGCCGGCTGCCAGCGACGCGCCCAAAGAAGCGCCGAAGGCTTCGCCACAATTGCATCTGAACCGTAAACCCTAAATCAATCCTAAATCCTGTAAACCTTAAATCCTAAACCCTAAGCCGTAAACCGAAAATTAACCCTAAGCCGCAACCCGAGTAGGACTCAGGGCCTCTAGACTCTAAGCGTTTATCCCCAGGCCGTAAACAAGAATGAATCCAAACTTTGACCCGAAAATCTTACAGAAGGGTCGCTCCCGGGGCCTGCATTGGTGTATGAGGAGATTTTTTCACTCTCGAGCCCAACAATTGACCAAATAAACCTCTAAGCCCCCAAACCACAAATCCTAATCTCCACCCTACGCCCGAAAATTCGGCTTGTTGTTTGTTGCTGTCTTCTACAGGAATCCTTAGTATATACCGAAATAAGACTGCGAAGATCTCAACGTAGATCTTCAGAAGATTGGCAACGTTTTTACTTAGGGTGAGGTGCTGTGGCATATCTGTCGTATACCGTACGTATACCCTTTCCCTGCAGATCTCAGGTCTAATTGATTTGGCCTCCCTAAACCCTTAACCCTAAACCTTCTAAACCGACCAAAAACCCTAAACCCTAAACCCTAAACCCTAAAGCCCTAAATTCTAAACCTTTGAGCCGTCAGAAGTTTGACATACCTAAACCCTAAACCGTCTCAACCTGAACGCTGAGCCCCACACCTCTAGTAGACCGTCTAAATCTTGACACCCTAAAGCTGAAATCTGATACGTTTTAACCGTATGAACTCTGGACCTAACCCTTGTTGGAGGAGTTAGCACTTGGCTGTGTGAGGGTGTACATGTTGCTGTCCGTATGCTAAACACCTTAGGGATCTATTCTCATGCAAAGACGAGGAACTTCCGGGGGTCGTGGTTTCGGCTTAAAGGGATTGGATACTTAATGAATTGTCGCTGCTTAGCCTATTTTGTGCTGGATGTTTGAAAATGCAGAAGAGACACAGGCCATACGGATCATCACCGACCCAAATCTCATCGTTGGAAAAGTCCCCTGGCTGCAGAGACCGCGGATAGTGATTGGTAATACCGATTAGAATAAGGTTTCGCTGCATTTTATGTATTGGAACAATCCCTAAACCCTACAGCCTAAACCCGAAACCCTAAACCCTACACCTAAACCGTAGCAATGACCGTGGCTTCTTCTGTTTGATCGGACTTGGGTTCTATCGGTGCTCGTGAGAAGGCTCCTTATACCCTACGTAGACTCTGACCCGATCCCAGCTCACCCCCGCAAGACGTACAAGACCACAAAGCCGAATCTGCAAATGTCAGATCATAATCTGATAGTTAAGATAAATATAATGAAGTATAAACTCATACAAACCAGCATGACACAATAATTTAATAAAGTACAGCGGAGTATAGTATGGTATAGTTTAGCACAGTATAGTACAGTAGAGTATGGCATAGTCTAGTCTAATCTAGTGTATGGTATAGTAGAGTATATAGTGTAGGACGGTATAGTACAGTATAGTATAGTGCAGTATAGTATAGTACGTACTAGGGCGGGGCGGGGTGGGCTGCTAGGTTGTGCGGAGGGATTTAATGTCATAGCTTTTTAGGTATACATTATATTTAAACATCAAAGAAAAGGGATGGTGTTTGTGCTTTAAGTATACTGTGTGTCGCGTCTGAAGTGAATTGAGATGCAAGGCTTGCGTCAAAGATTGGAACCAACATAAGTGCCTGAGCTATTTGTGTTTGCACACTTAATTTGTCTGGTCGCCCATGTCGTCGTCGAGCTGGTGGCGCGGCAACCCGAGTTGCAGATCCTGGTGGTAGTGAACTTATCAATGCACAGCTTTGAGGCATCATCGTGCATGTGGCATCATGGTGCATGCGATTGTGACGTTAGTGACTGGCCGCCACCCGAGTTGCAGATCTATTTAGCAATGCAAGGCTTTGAGCCGGTGCCTTTTCCGCCCTTCATTGCCGTGCCTTTGCCATTTGCAAGCTCGTGATCGCAGAAGCAGTCGTGGCTGGCTTGGGCTGCGACATAGATGACCGACAGCACTGCCGAACGGAGTGATGACTTCAGCCCAGAGGCTCTGGAGTCGAAGCGTGCTCGTGCGGTTCTGGCCTTCAAGAAGACAAAGTAGGATTGGGAGCGATCTTTCTCTCTGTGGCAGCAGCAAGTGCGGCGTTGAGCCGCAGTGGCTGACGAAGACGATGATTGCGTGGTCGCTTAGGTCGGCACGTGCCTTATAGTTCGATGTTTAGAGCCGGCAGTGAAACATGTTTACCTCAGTGCTTAGCCCTTTTGACTGCATTATATATATATATATAATTATCCCTGTGTGCCTATGTCTTCGAGCCTGAAACTTCCTGCTGCGCCGTGCTGTCCTAAGTGAAAAAACTCGATGCAGCGTGATAATGAAAGTTTGCCTCGGTGCCCATTCTGCCAACACCTATTGCCAATTATTTTTTCGGCCCGCGGCTGCTGATGCTTCACCACGTGCACAATTCGAAGTGCACTCTTTATTTTTGCCTTCGAGCTGCCAGGTCGGAGTTTCTGATTTGATTTGACCTGCAAAACATTGAAAAGGCCTGTTTCTTCAACTATGAAGTTCGTTGTTTTGATTCAAAGTGAATCGGCTTGCTGCTGGCAGGTCACCGGCATGGATCGTGCCTGAGAGTTGCCTGTAAACGGTTCACTTGAATTTGATGTCGACCTTGATGCAAGCAGAATCGCGGAACAAAAATATAATGCAATATTTGGCTTCCGATTCTGCTGGCGGTCCCCCCAGTAAAATGCTGGAGACGAAAGCTGTGTTAAAGCCACTATGCCACAGTATGTATTAAAGTGCAGCACAGTATAGTAAAGCCAGTATAGTATAGTGCTTTGTAGTATAGTACAGTGCAGTATAGCATGGTGTGGGATAATATAGTAGAGTATTATTAGTAGAGTGTAATATAATATAGGGTCCATGCAAAAACTCCAGGAGGCGGCGGTGCGTTCGCTGCCTCCTGCAGAGGAGCGTGAAGTGATACTGGTGTTGCAAGCGTTTTGGTTTCGGCCGGAAGTTTGGAACTTCTAGTATTGGGCGTAGGCTTTGCGGTTACTGGCTGTAGGGTATGATCTAGTTGTTTCTCGATGTCGTTCGTGTTGTGGAATTAGACGTGTTTATTGAGCGATCGGCGTGTCTGTGATGTCCGTGTACTTCCCAGAGCAGCATTGCATCAGCCAGGAAGTCGCAGCTGCGCTGTTGAAGCTGGATGCCGTTGTCCTTAGCCCGAGCCATTTGAATGTGATCAAGGACCCTTGCCGGCGAACCCTCAAAACCATATCCTTATAAGCAGATTTACTCTACGCCTGGCGTTTGAGGTTGTAAGGCTCGGGCGGGCGCATGCATTTCAGGTGTCAACTTGTTTTTTGCTTGGTGCGTGTGGGGTGCTGTGATGTGGCCCACCTTTTAAACCGTAGACCCTTAGGCCCCTAAACCCCAAAGCCTTAAACCGATAATTCCCTAAACCCTAAACCCCTAATTATGTAAACCCCTAAGCCATAGCTGTAGACCTAACACATGGCTGATTTGGCCCTGAATTTTATTTCGTACATCGGCAAGGTCACCCGTAACCTGAAACCCTAAGAAGGGTGTAGGGTTGACGTGTACCGTGTCTCACCAGAACATGTTGCTGCAGGTGGGCCTAGTGGTTTTTTGACAGGCTCATGGAGCGAATCAATGATTTCCAACTTCCAATCCAATAGTTCTCAGCCACATCTGTGTGCGGAAACAGCCGTGTAATGCACAGTTTAAATACACACATGCACACACACACACACATATGTACATATATCATATATGTATATCAGAGTTAAGTTCAGTAAAGCAAGATATATGAATTCAAACAAAAAGACAATACAATTTAATAGAATGAAACAGACTGTACTAGTATTTCATTGTACTATACAGTACTACATTGTTATACAAAGGTTTACACCAGGCTGCATAGTTATACATAGGCTAGATTATGTACACTGGTTTGTGTGTATAGATATATGTGTACATACACAGGTACATATACATACAAAGAGAGAGAGACAGAGCAGATATACATCACGTACATGTATGTATGCGTATGTGCATGCATGTATATGAGTAATGCCCAGATGTTTACATGTATACTATATACGTGTATACTTGTACATGTGTGCTGAAGTACACGAATACCTTTATGGTTGCTTTGATGGATGCAGTATATAGGTTTATGTATGTGTATGTGTATACATATATACACACATACTTGTGATTTTTTATTGTCATATACATAGAAAGTACTCGCATATGTATGTAAATCGGAACATCTGTACATATAGGTACCTGTATACGTGAAGACGCATGTTGATGTGTTTGCACGTACATGTGGCGTGTGCATGTATCTATGGCCGTGCAGGTGTGTGCGTGTGTGTTTAGAGAAGTATTGAACAATTTCTCATACATGTGTAAACACAAATGTGTGTATGTATGAAGAGATTTGCGTACGAGAGTATATGGGCCCACCTGTGTGTGTGTATATATATATATATATATGATATACATACAAAGAATACACGTGCATTTGTGGCGAGAGAGAGAGAGAGAAAGATAAATAACCATTGAATACAGATATGTATTCGTGTATAAATATAGACCACATATATGCACACATGCATACATGTATCTATGTATGTATGCTTGTTTGCATGCGTGGGTGTATGTGTGCATGCATATATCCAAATGTGCAAATGTACATATGTGCATGTTACACATGTAAACTACATGAAGAATGGTCAGAGAATGGTCATCTGATTGTGTATGTATTTGTGTATATACAAATATAGCGACCCATAGTTTTTGTTTTCACTATTTTTTCAGCTCGTGATTACTTCACACAATTTTGCCATTGTGATTTTGTTTGTCGTTATGTGTTGGTACTGATATCGTTTTTGGTTTTTGATTTATGCTTATATTCGGACCGCGAGAGCGAGCATTTGTGTTTGTGTGCGTCGTGTGAGTCCGTGCACAGGACCGCGAAGTTTTCCTTCGGCCCGAAAGTTTGTGTACAGTCTCCGGGTGAAAGCCAGAAAGAATTTATACTGGATGCAACAAGTTCCGCCAAAGAGAGACCAAGCCCCTTGAGTCGCAGCACGAGAACAGCGAACCTGGCCTTTTTCAAACCCTTCATCCGAAGCCTGACAGCCTGAAAGCGACATTGGTGGCCCAAAAGGAGCATGCCAGCCCGCAGCCGGCACAGGCACTGTGTCTGATAGGGTTTAGGGTTTAGGGTGTTTCGCTGTGTTTTTTTGGAGTTGGTGAGTAGGTGTGGCGGGTGCAAGGATGCAGGTGGCATGCCAGCTTGCAGCTGTGAGATGTCAGCATAGGCAGGTGTAAATGCTTTCGCGTCAGACAGCGAAATGGTGGAAAGCACGGCATATGTAATAGGGGCCTTAATAATTAGAATAGGGAACACCCAAAATTCTAAAAACATACTTTAACGATTTGGGCCTCTCTACTTCTAGTTTCCATGGCTGTTTCTGCTCGGAGGGGAGGTAGGAATCAGGAAGTGAATTGCTAAACGGGTAGACCCTAAAACCCTTAAGCCCCAAACGGAATGAAACCCCGCAGCCATCGAGGTAAGCCAGCTTGAAGAGTGCCGCAAAGAGCACCCCACAGTGCCTTTCGCACTGCCCGAGGCTCGCGTGCTTTCGCGTTTCGGGATAGGAATCTGTGCCAGAGTGCAAGCATTCGCTAGTTTAGGCCTGTGGGGGCTGGGATTTTGCAGGATTTCGAGCACGTGCGAACCCAAACCTGCAGTCGCTTATCTACCAGTCAATCTCCTCATCCAGACAAGCAGATCGTGGGGCCATGAGCAGACCCTAACCCCCCAGGTACCTCCTACTATATAGGGCCCTATAGGGGCTCTAGTATCCTATATAGTACGTACCTGGGGGGTCATGAGCAGAGGGTTCAGGGGAATTTCACAGAGCTATGCGCCGGGCCAGGCTGCTTCAAACTTCTCGTGCTAGCACTGGTGCCGCTACATTTCTCATGATGACCCAAAACCCTCCACCCTAAACCAGTAATCGCTGGTAGCTTTGGTTGCAGGCTTGTCACGATGACCAGTGTTTTGCAGAGCAATCAAACTATTGATGTCGTGCCCAAAGTTGGGGACAGGATGACAACAGCAGGGCATCGTCGCACTTCCGGGCTCAAAAACCGAACTCGGGATGCTGGTAAGCTTTAATTTAAGTCTTGCTACCTTCGTCTCATCGGGCAGCTGTGCATTCCGTGCTTGCAGGAATACATGTGGCACATCAGCCGTGTTCCGGCATACCAGGTGCGTCGGCTGCAGGGCAGGAATTTCCGTGAGCATTCGTCCAGGATGGTTTGGAATGGGAAATAATATGTATAGGGCTTTGAACAATCAGCAATTCAGCAAGCCTCTGTCTAGTCTGCATGCATTTGCCTATGCCATACTATACCCCAGAGCCCTGTTCTAATTCTGAAGGCCTATATCAGTTGCAGCTCGTCGTTTTAGTGTTGCCCGGCCATCAGAGGCAGTCTTGCAGAGGAGGAAGCTGCAAACTCAGAAGTTGATTGCAGGGTTTAGGGCTTATTAGGTTTATTTACGGTTCTGGGCTTCATGCATAGTTTTGCAGATTTTCTTTAGGTCCTTGGGTGCAGGGCGAGACGGTGGCTTAAGAGCACCATTGAAATCTAGCTAGTGATGTAGTTCTTTGAAGTACGTATAAAACTTGGTTTTCTGCATTTCAGTTTGAATGACATGAAGATTGAACCAATGGTGCTTTGGTGTGCGTACTCTAGCTCTAACCCAAAGCCCTGATCCATAAACCCCGAACCCGAAAGCTGTGCATGTGGCCTTGGCAGGCACGGATATCCTGCTGGACCTTCGTGCTGTCCTACAAGGATGCAGTGGTAACGATAGCACTGAACATTCCGATTTCGAAGGCTTAGAGTCTTAAACTCCAACTGCCTGACACATCCGTGAATCCTGATTTCGGATTGAATCCACAGTTAGTTGCTTACATAGACGGCCCAAAGCCTGAACTCAGCCAGCGACCCCCGACCTCAGCTATTGTGAAGAGCTTTCAAAGCCGGTTTAGGGTTTAGGGTTTAGGGTTTAGGGTTTAGGGTTTAAGCGGTCAGGCTGCGGAAGGGGGCTGGCAGTCGCTGGTAGTTGGTTGTCCGGAAGTTTGCCTGCTGCTTCATGTCGGCCAGCAGGAAACAACTGGTGCCTGCAGCGCAATGCTCGGCAGCTTGTCTCCGACATATCACTGTGTCGTGTCATGTCATGCAGCGGCTCCTGCTTGACATGCATTCGCTGTGTGGTTGGTGCCCGCCTGTAGACAACAGATTCAGGTCACGTTGCAGCCGGGTTCGGTTTAGGGCTCAGGTAGACTGCTAAGGGGACCCGGATGTTATTCTATTTGCGCCAAACAAAGCAGCCCCGCTGACACATTGCTACCCTTGCCGCGTGGACACATCGCCACTCCTGCACTTGACATGAACCCAAATCCTAAAGGAACCCTGATAGCAATCCTTATGGGACAAATTGTCAAACCATTGAATGCGGTGTTCAATCCACACCTAACCGCCCCAGAGCAGGACATTACTATAGGGGCCTTAATAATTAGAATAGGGGTTCGGGGCCAATTATACTACGGAAAGTTATAGTAAGGACCACCCCCCTCCCCCCCCCTCCGCAAAAAAATAAAATAAAATAGTACTGGTAATTATTTCGGCCCCTGCATTACAAGGACCCAGAGCAAATAGAAATCCCTGTGCCCGACGAAGAGACCCCAAGAAGCCCATCCAAGCGAAATAAGCCGCCAAAACATTGCAGGGTTTAGGAGCCTAAACCCTAAATCCTAAAGCCCAGCTTAGGACGTAGGTGATGTGGGGTTGAGGGTTGCGGTTAAGGGGTCCATGGTTACTAAGACCAGCGGTCCAGGTGAGTTTCAGCTGATAGAGGAGGCCATACACCAATCACGGGCTTTGCGGCAGCTACTGGCTTTGATCTTGCTTCCTGGCCCAAGGGCATCTATAGGGTTTAGGGGTTTAGAGTTTTAGGGTTTAGAAGTTTAGGGTTTAGGGGTTTAGGTTTAGGGGTTTAGGGTTTGGGGTTTATAGCCGCGGCGTTTAGGAATTGCCGTTGGAGGTGCTCTTCCGTGCGTCATTGAGTTTCGCAAGTTTGTAGGCTTGAGCAGGACAGAGAGCAGATAGGGATAGTATGTAACCCCACGTGCCCTGTACCATCGGTCCCAGAAATCCACAATCATGAGTATCCTTGTCCTCTGACTTCTCCTGCCGTATTTTGTCACACCCAATGCCCAAGACTACTGCGACAACATCTTCTTACAGCTACTTTACTACATGCTGCTGCGATGTTGCTGCCGTTGCTGCTACAGGTGCTACCACAAAAAGCACTACCACTGGTGCGTCCGCTATTTCTACATCGTCCCACGTGCTGCGGTTGATTTCGGCTGCTGCTGCGGCTGGAGCTACGCCTCCGTCCCCTAGTCCTCCCACTGCTATATGATGACGGAGATGATGATGACGACGATGACGACGACGATGATGACGATACTGACGATTATGATGATGATGATGATGATGATGAACCCGACCGAGCCGGGAGGCGGCTTAGCCGCATCCAAGGCCGGGGCTTTCTCCTCTTCCTCTGCTTGCATGCAATGCTGCCTGCTTGTCGTGCTATCACGCCAGCATTGCGATTGGTGGCAGGGCGGTTTTTCACCAGACCCCAACACCCAAACCCGCCTTGGGCTTTGATAATGATGATGATGGTGATGATGATAATGATGCTGAGAACAAAGATATTCAATGACGACGGCAGCGACGACGACGACGACGACGACTATTACCACCAGTACGACTACACCCACTGCTGCTGGAACCACCACCGACGACAACTGCTGCTGCTGCTTCTAATTCTACTACTCTGAATTTTAGCTCTCGGATTTTATCCTTTGACTCCTCGACAGTTCGGGATGAAGGTCCTTAGAGGACTTGTGGAGCAACCGCCGCAAGCCCAATATCCCACACGATGCATCCGCTGTCTCCTTGAAAAACAAGAGCCACGGTCGTGCTAAAGTATGCAGACACCCAACAAGAACCACGTCCCAGATCCTATCGCTCCAAAATGCGTGTTGGTTTCTCTCAGGCAGGTCGGCAACTACTTGCTGCTCGCCGGAGGGGAAGAGTGTAGGAATTGGGAGGTCTAAGTCAGAGGCTTTTGGTACTTTGCGGGATCTTTTCGAGTACGCTGACTTCAGGACGGTGGTACACAAGCCCACAGCCCTCCGTAGGGAACAGGTGCTCAAGAAGAGCCTTTGACCCCCGAAACCTTAATATAGAAGCCCTAAAAAATAGCCACTATTATTCCTTAGGGTTCCTCGTTACAAGTAGACTACTAAAGGGGGCCCAGTTCGAATTATTAAGGCCCCTAAACCCTAAACCCCAAACCCTAAACTCCGAAACCGTAAACCCTAAACCCTAAACCCCTAAACCCTAACCCCTACATTACGTTGTCGAGGAACGGTGGCACGGATCGTGGCCAAGCCGATGGGTTCGACTTGGAAACCCTGGGGCTCCTCTGCCGCACTCGGATTGGGCGTGAGAAGTTGAGATGCGAGAACTGATGGGTGTAGGGTTTAGGGTTTAGGGTTTGGGGTTTAGTGTTTAGGGTTTAGGGTTTAGGGGTTTAGGGGTTCAGGGTTTAGGGTCTAAGGTTGAACACATGGGCTTGAGAACTGGTATTATAGGGGCCTTAATAATTAGTCCCTCTTGTACATTATACTCTGTTTGTGAAAAATTATAGTTTTCGCAGACTATTGCCTGTTCATATTAACTATTACTTGTAGTATATATACTCTATTTCGATTAAGGAACCCGCAAAATAGTCTTGGTAATGATTTACATGATTAAGGGCCGTGTATTACTTTTTGCAATGTTCTACAGGTTCTTCTACATCACGGGCCATTAGGAATGCATGTCGAAGAACATAACGTCCTAGCCAAAGAGGGAACCTCACACCTTTCATGGTCGCTTCGGAGACAGGTGAGTCGAACAACCAAGGCTTCTGGGTTCAGATAACATGACATGCAGAGGGCTTTAGATTTCAGATTTTTGTTTGAATCTTTTGGACGTTCAGCCGGAGCCGCAGCCCTAAACCCTAAACCCTAAACCCTAAACCCCTGAACCCTAAACCCTAAAGCCGCGAGTCAGGAAGCTGGACGGTGTCAAGGACAACGCGTGGAACTCAGGTCTCAGAGGCTCTGTGCACAGGAGTCTTTAGGGTTTAGGGGTTTAGGGTTTAGGGTTTAAAAGCACCATGCTGGTACACCGGAAACCCTTTAGGCGTTCTGAGGATTCTTCAACGGATTTATCAGGTTTCTATGTTGTTTCGTAATGGTTCTGTAAGATTTTTGAAGAGTTCTATCAATGTTTTATGAGGGTCTCGGTGTCTTGCAAAAGGGTTTAGGGTTTAGGGTTTAGGGTTTAGGGTCCTTGGTTCATTCATCCTAGTCCAGACACCGCAAAACCTTTTGATTCTACAATCTGAAAATCCGTTTTAGGGTGCAGGGTTAAGGTTTTGGGGTGTAGAGCCACGGGGTATGCAGGCTCTGAGGGGGTTTGGGTAAGGGTATAAGGTTGAAGGGTAAGTCGAGCCTGGGCCCTCAGACAAGTCACCTGTACTCGCTGCAGGATCTTTAGTGTTCCATTTTCAGGCCAGGTTGCCACCATAAACCCCCCAAAGCTACCGACTATCCTAAACCCTACGGCCAATTCAAAAACCCACCCGCGCCGAAATTGATTGACACGATTTCAGGTCTCGCCCTCGAAAGATGTGCCCGGGTTGCAAAGTCTGCATGGTAGAATGGGGTTCTTCCAGGATGCGGGGTCTGTGTTTAGGGGTTTTGGGGTTTATTGTTTAGGGGTTTAGGGTTTATTGTTGAGTGGTTTAGGGTTTAGGGTTTTAGGGTTTATTGCTTAGGGGTTTAGGGTTTAGGGTTTACTGATTCGGGCGGGATTCGGGTTTGGGAGGTGCGGCGACCTAGGAAGTTTGGATGAAGGGCTCGGGATGATTGACGATGTGTATTTTGTCAGGCCTAGAGTTAGAGTTTAGGGTTTAGGGTTTAGGGTTTAGGGGTTTAGGGTTTAGGGTTTAAGGTTTAGGGAGTTTAGGGGTTGCTTTTGAATGTGGACGGCTCGTTCGAAGCTTTTCCACCACATGTTCAATGCAGTGTGGGAAGCTTGACAGCGGCGACAGGCTAGACACTACCTAAACCCCCAAAAAGTAGGCAACAAAAAGGCCCAAAACCCATAAAGGGGCTATCATTCTACATAGTTTTTTGGGCTCCAGGTAAGCCCTAAAAATCCTAAACCCTGAGTGCAGCGACCTTCACACAGCGACCGTGATCCTGCCATTCCTCCGAACCCCCCGAATCCCGAATCCTGCGGAACGAGCTGGGTTTAGGGTTTAGGGTTTAGGGTTTAGGACGAGCTGCAGGAGCACTCGACAAGCCCTGCATAGAAAGGATCAGTAGCGATTTTCAAAGGTGCCTGTAGTTGGCCGTGTCGTTTTGCCTGGGGCTATTGTTTTTTGGGGCTCATCGTCCCAAACCCTAAAACCTTAAACCCTATACCCTAGAATCTCAAAGCCCTACAGCTTTGAAAAGAAAGCCAGAAGCAATTCTTGAGTTTTGAAGCCTCAAACATGAGCACTCCTCACCGACTATAGAAGCCTGAATAATAGCCAATATTATGCCCTAGGATTCCTGAATATAGTTATACTACAACGGACCCCAAAACCCTTTTCTACTTACTAAGGCCCCCTACCTTAACTTGGAGCGCGAGCCCGCAAGCCGCAAAGGAAGATTTACATTGCCCTAAACCCTAAACCCCTAAAACCTAAACCCCTAAACCCCAAACCCTAAACCCAAACCCCTAAACCCTCAGAATTACCCCTAAACCCTAAACCCTATTTTTTGGGGGGTTGCTCATGATAATTATGGTATAATATACCCCTAAACCCTATTGAACAATATATATTAGGACCCCTGCATTTCTTATTTATAGACACCCTCTGCAAACCCTATACAGCCATGCTCCTAAAGAGGTAACTTCCATTCGTTTATCCTACCTTGGCCATAAATCTTAACGTTTGAAGAAGAGAGAAATCCTAAACCCTAAACATCAGAGACTCGAGTCCTGCAAAACAGCGGGAAACCTGCAGCTCTGAAACCTTGAGACGGTTTAGGGTTTAGGGTTTAGGGCCCTAAACCCTAAACCCTAAACCCTAAACCGCAAGATGAAACCCTGTGAAGACCACACTCCTTTGAACCCAAGGCCTATGGACAACTCTTTGAGCATTTAAACCCTGTATATTCCCTCAAACTCCATGAAATCTCTGTATGAAGCTCCTAAACCCAAACCCCTAAACCCTAAACATAAACCCTTATATAAGCCTTTTAGGTTAACTGCAGGTGCGCCACCTCATCTTCGAGCTCTTCTTCTGTGGGGCTGCTGAGCTAGGAGACCTGGTGAGTGAGGAGGAGACCAGAGAAGCCTTTCCACTCAAGGGTTTAGGGTTTAGGGTTTAGGGTTTTAGGGTTTAGGGTTTTAGGGTTTAGGGTTTAGGGTGTTGGGTTTAGGGTCTTGGGTTTAGGGGTTTAGGGCTAATGGTTGAGAAGGGTGCTTAAATTAAAGCGCTCTACAGCTGCTTTTACTGGGCTCTTTTGCAGAATTCGACTTTCGACGGTTGTCACGAGGTTTTGAAGGGTCCGTTGTGCGATGTTGCGGGATATTTCGGGTTTGCGCATTTAGGGTTCAGGCTTGGAGGTTTAGCTTTTTATTTGGGGTTTGGTATGGGGTTCAGGCGTCACTGTAGGGTCTGAAATGCACAAGGCTCCTGCTGCCTTCAATGTTGTGAAATGTTTTGGTCAACCTATCGTTAAGACAAGTTAAGACCCATCCTTCAAAAAGCAAGGTAACAACAGATATAGAATTGCAATGCGGGGCCTCGGTACAAATTAAATCAGTAGCATAACAGGCACATAAGCAGTTTCACAGCTCTCATGTGCAGTCTCTTGACCGCCTTAGATGGTGTTTTAAAGATAGCTTTCATGCATACACATACATACATACTTACATACATACTTACATACATACTTACATACATACATACATACGTACGTACGTACGTTCGTACATACACATATACGCGTTATATATATATATATATATATATGCATATATATATATATATATGCTCGCC